GTCTCTAGAGCGCGTTTGACAGAAGACAGACTAAAAGCTGACGTTTGTAGATAACACACCGGCGGCGCGGCGCAGAGTGCTGGAGACGATGAGTCACGAGCGCGAGCGGAGAGCGGTAAAGGTAATGAGCGTTGAAATGCGAAATTGAAATATAGCCACCACGCAGGTATAACTAGACTACGAACTAATTAAGCCTAAACCCTTAGAAACATAAGAAGCGATTCACGAAGGACAAACATCAATAAGCAAATAACTAACGCACTTTACACACCTCCCCCACCCATGGCAAGAGCTTTGGCTAGGACAAAGCAGAGGCCGACGCCTGAAGGGCGAAGGACACAGCGAGGGAGTCACACGCAGAACACAAACACATCCGCGACAAGAACACAATACAGGGGCGGGAGGGCGGGAAGTGGCCGGGTGAACGCATTGAACGTCACTGAAGCACTTGTTGCGGTTCACGAAAACGGTTATCGTAGTCCATGACGTCAGTTATTTCGGCGGTGACCCGGATCGTGGGCCGTCGAGTCAACTGGTGACCCGGATTGCTGGTGCGCGGGGCACTGCACTTGGTAGCGCACGGCTGCGCTCGGGGTGGTGCACTGAGTAGGTCAGTGACCCGGATAGTTCCTCGGTCCATTGTGATGCAGGCCCGGTGCCATGCATACACAAACACACACACACACACGCACGGGGGAAAGGGGAATCAAAGAGGCCTCACACCTCTGGCGACAGCCGCAGAGACGACGTCGGTCGATGGCCGTACGTGGCCCGTCGCGGCATATCCGTTGTGGCACTAGGCTGAGCGCTGAGTGATGCCGGTGCATCGTCTACAGGGTCCATTTGCAGGCTCTGCTGGCTGCCCGGTGGGGCTGCTGGCGGGCCGAGCACAGGATGACGCTCGTCGAGTTCAATGGCTGGCTCACGAAGGTCTCGAGTAGCAGAAGCGGGGACAAAGCGGGGTAAGCGGTAGGTAGCCATGGAGCGAGGGCAGCAGTGTTTAATGCAGAAGCACATGCAGCAAGCGGCGAGAACGCTGATGATGATAATGAGTAGCCAAGTATAAGAGAATGCGGATGGTGTATCATCAATAACCTGTTCAAGGGGAAGGGCTTCGACACGATTGAAGTAGTCATCGGCTGGCATACCGGCGACGTGAAGCTTTGGTATAGACGAGACGTTAGATTGCAGGGCCGTTGGAATAGCAGTTGCCCAGTGCGAACGCCAGATTGGGACCAGGGAAGAGTCATTGGAGATTGTAAACGTATCATCGAAATCAGGGAAGTCGAGGTGGGTCTCACTAGCATAGTAAGGAGGGAGATATAGAGAGTCACTAGAAGCGGAGCATTCCATGGACAAGGTAAGAAGGCGAACAGGTGATGAAATGGATAGCGTGGTGCTATTGTATGGGCAGACGATAGTGATGGACAGAGGAGGGCGAGAAACTATCAGCCACGTGCCTCGGGAAAGGTAATGAGCTTTAGGAGCATCGTTCGTAGGGCGGACGATTGGAGCACAGAGACGAGAGATGGCCTGCTCGTCCCGACGGAAAAGAGCCACGACACACGAATCCGCATTTGCCGTGGAGTAAGCAGGTTCATGAAGGGGGCAGAACGGTTGCTTGATCAGAAGGCAGGCTTCGATCTCAGAGTCGACAGGCTGGATGTATTGCTGTCTGTTCTCTGATACAACCAGATAGCGGGGTTCGTTGGGAACATAGAGAAGGGAAATGTTATGGCTGTGAAGCGGGACCTGATAAGGGAAGAAGCGATAAACGTCAAACGCATGGAGCGTGTGGAGCAGTGGAATGTAGAAGAGGACATGAAAAGCATCTTCGACTGGGATGAGCTTGGTTTTGACAATGCGAACATAGTCGCGAGTAGCCGAAGGCGGGAAAGGCAGCGCAAAATGTGCCGGGAGGCTTTTGCTCACCTTACGAAGGACACGGTTGAGGTCACGTGAATGAATGAGGTCAGCGTGTAGGATTCCTACTTGAGCTAGAGCGAGTTTGCTAGAGAGCGACACCAACGAAGTATAAAGATGATTGAGGCTTCTAGTAACTTGTCTTACATTCTCTGCAAGGTCGGCTACGCGAAGCGATACTGTGATGAGTGCCTCTGCATTGTCGGCGGCTCTGATCAGCTTCAAATGCGATGTGCTCATCGAGCTCATTGCTGATTGTAGAGTACGGAGAGCTTTACGATTTTGAGAAGTGGCAACTCTAGTAGAATTAATGACGTTAAGCGTGCCGTTAAAAGTATGAGCCATAGCAACCTCTTTGGCATTGATAAGCTGGACGTTATGATCCAGATGTTTGATTTCACTTTCAGTGGCAGTTCCAAACAAAGACGACATTACGCTTCCAATGCCATCAATGAGTCCTCGCTTAACACGCTTGGAGCGTCCAGTCCGACGGATAGAGTTAGCCGAGCGTGCAGAGCTTCGTGGCTCAGGCATGGACAGTAGGTCACGAAATGTGTCGACGAGATGGTTCTCCTCTGTTTGCAGCTGACTAATGGAGTGAGACAGATGTTTGAGCGATACAGTCAGTGAAGCATGAGCGGGGTCAGCAGCGGTAGCATTAGTAGGCGGCGAGTGGTTAGCGAGCAGCGCTCTTGCAGTGCGGGAGAGCTCATTAGTAGCATCATTGATTTTACGGACATCTTTGCGATAGGGTTTCATGCTTATTGACAGGGTGATTGCCCATGAACTATAGCTTGGGTAAGTCTTGCCTAGCGGTATAAAGAGATGTCCGGGGTCAGTAGGGAGAGCGGCGCAATAAGCAATATCAATCACGTTTGTTACCGTGAGCAGCAGTAGCCATCGACTCAGCATCGTTGTGACAGCCATGGTCTGAAACACAACGACCGTTTATTACATTGAGCTGAGGAGAGCCATACTCAATGCATAAACTTTAAACAAAAGAGCTTACGGATCCAACCTGATGATTCACTGCGATCATGGTGAGTCATCTCTGCAAATGGCTGCTGAACTTCAACATCATTTGGACTGCTAGCTACCACTGCCAGGCAGTCAGTTCCCGATTGGACCTTAGGTCTTTTGTCTGGCGGGCACTCATCAAAACTGTCATTTCGTTTCCTTACGTAAGGTCTCCGTACGTACTCATACCCTTCTAGAGGCTCGTTCGTTTGAGCTCGAGACCTGAGGTTGTATCCATGTAGCCTCTGTGGTAGCGGCGGCAACTGACCAAGCTCTCCACTGTCCGGTAACGGTGGGGAGATTACAGTGGGGTCACCTAATGCTACTGAAGGGTTCTCAGGGCGAGGACCGTTGCCCTCTTCCTGGATATCTGGAGTGCCCTCTCTTGATTCATCTGTGGGGTTTGGTGTGCTCATAGAAGCAAACCAAGGTTGATCACCTAACGGTAACCTGGCCGCACGGAGCGGCTGCTGGCGAGTAGGCTCCTCTTCCGGACGGATACCTACCTGGAGGGGACGTTTCACTACATCGTAAACTCTATCCCAAACATCAGTTTCGTCCTTCCGACGTAGGTTCTCTGAATGTACTACCTTCGATTTGCCCGTTAACATGTTCTTGATGCAGTAGTTCTCAGGGCCTGATTTTGAAACTACTCGAAAATGGTTTTTCCATGGTAACGTGAATTTAGGAGTATCACCTGGTTGTACTGAAGGGTCAAAATAGTAAACAAGGTCACCGGGTGCAAAGTCTGAAGGGGTTGCGTTTTGTGCGATATGAGCTTTGTTTCGATCTCTAGCTTCCTGCATGTTTTCAACCACATGTGCGTAAGCATTATGCAAATGCTCGAACATGACTGGGACGTAGTCCTCGCCAAAGTACCGTAATCTAGGTTGCAGGAGCGTGTCGACTGGTAGAACGGGATCTCTACCATACATGATAAAGTAGGGCGAGTATTTAGTAGACTCATTCTTGCTCACCCTGTAAGCGCCTAAACATGGTTGTAAAACTTCATCCCATTTTGTTTGATCTTCGCTAATTTGTTTCCTAATCATGTCGTTCATGCACCTATGGAATCGCTCAGTCTTTCCGTTTGACTGGGGATGATAGCTGGACGTTCTGACCCGTGCAATTCCTAATTCGCGATTGACTAGGTCCAGGAGTGCATTGCAATATTCCGTACCTTGATCACTAATGATGGTTCGCGGGCAGCCATGCCTCGGAATAAATTCTTCCAAAAGTAATTTTGCAATGGTATTTGCTGATTTGTCCGGAATAGCCCATGCTTCTGGCCATCCGCTGAAGTGATCAACAATCGTGCATACATATTTGTTTCCTTTGTCTGAGACGGGAAATGGACCACACGTGTCTATACCGATGATTTCCATGGGAGCTGAAGGCATAGGCATGTCCTGCATTGGCCGTCTTTCTTTGTTGAGTCTTTTCCTGTTGCACGTGTCGCATGACGAGACATATTGCATGACGTCTTTCAGCATCGAGGGCCAATAGTACGATTTGAGCACTTTGTCAGTCGTTTTCTCGATTCCCAAATGGCCTCCAAAATAACCGTCATGAGCGCTCTGAAGAACTATTTTCCTAAACTCAGGTGGCAAAACGAGTTGGAGTTTAGTAAGCGGCCGGGTTTTCGTACTTTTCTCTATGTGATAAAGGAGTCCGTCGTCTAAACAATACCTCTGGCTATTTGGGTTGCTTTCATCGTTTGACTGGAGGTCCGATATAATTTGTTTCAATTCTGGGTCGTTCCGTTGTGCTTTACGTAATGAATCTGCGTCGATACCGTGATAGTCTAGTGGTTTTTGGTTGACGTCATTTTCGTCTGCGTCAATTTGTACCCGGTTGTCAACTACATTGACATCCATCGACCCTCCTTGCCAGTCGAGGTGCTCATTGTCGTTCAGTTCACCTGCTACTGGGGTATTGTGCAATCGCGACAGCATGTCGGCTGCTACGTTCTGAGGGCCGGAAATGTACTCGATTTTGCAACTGTATTCACCGAGGATAATAGCCCATCTTTGAATACGAGGATTTTTCATTTCACTCGTGAACAAATGCTTGAGCGGCTTGTGATCTGTATAAACGGTTATATCGGTACCAATGATAATCGGTCGGAGTTTTTCCAAACTATAAACGATAGCGAACGCCTCGCGTTCGATAGTAGGCCATTTGAGTTTTTGCTCCGAAAACTGGTGTGAAATGTATTGAATGACCCGATTTTGACCGTCATGTTCTTGCATCAAAACTGCACCTAAGGCGTACTGAGAAGCATCGGTGTACAGTTTGAAAGGTTTAGTTATGTCTGGGAAAGCCAAGATCGGGGCCTGGAGAAGTGCTTGTTTGATTGACTCGAATGCGCTTTGCGCTCCGGGCGTCCAGTGGAATCTAGCATGTTTCTTTGTCAATGCATTTAAGGGTTTTGCTAATTTACTGAAATTTGGAACAAACTTTCTGTAGTATGACGCCATGCCGAGGAAACTTCTGACATCTCGCACATTCTGGGGAGGTTGCATGTTTTGCATTGCTGAGACTTTTTGGGGGTCGACCGAAATTCCATCATTTGAAATGATATGACCTAAATAGTTGAGCTTGTCCTTGATAAATTCACATTTCGAAATTTTTAATTTTAGGTTGGCTTTTCGCAGCCTGGCGAATACTTCATCTAGGTGCTTCAGATGATCCTCAAGTGTTTCACTGAATACTATGATGTCATCTACAAACGCTAGGGCAAAATGACGGATATCTCCTAAAACAGCATTCATGCAATTTTGAAAAACGGCTGGCGAGCCAGAAAGACCAAAGGCCATCCGGTTATATTCGAAAATGCCTGCATCTGTGCCAAAAGCAGTCTTTTCTTTGTCCTCTTCTCTGATAGGGATTTGCCAAAAACCTTGCTTCATATCCAGACAAGTGCGGAACTTTGATTTTCCGAGCGCAAAGAATATGTCGTCAGCCGACGGGATGCTTGCAGCTGGCCTGACCGTAATAGCATTCAATTTTCGAAAGTCTACACAAAGTCTGAGAGAGCCATCCTTTTTGGGGACCAACAGAACAGGTGACATCCACGGTGAATTGCTCCGGCGGATAACATTTGCAGCTAGCATGTCCTGAATTTGCTTTTCTAGCGCCTCTCGATAAGCGAGTGGCGGTCGCCTTGGGGCCTGGTATGTTGGCGGATGATCTTGCGTATTGATCCTCATTTCTGTCACGTTGGTCATGGTCAATTCTGTATCTTTTTCAACAAATATATCCATGTTACCGAGTAGAAGCGTTTTCAATTGGTCTCTTTGATCGTCTGGGATGTGGTCTAGCTTGAATGAACGAATTTTATCCTCTGAGCTTTCTTTGACGTTCTCCTCTGTTTTCGATATTGATGAAATGTTTGGTTCAAGTTCTGAATCGGCAATTTTTGTAGCTACTCCAATAACTTGTCCTTTTCTGAAATGCAAATACCGACCCGTTTCGTTCACAATTGCCCAGGGGATATGGCGGTTTTTTGAGAGCTTGACAACGGCGTTTGGTAGCAGAATACCTGGTTCGTTTTCGAAACACGGAGACGAGGGGAGCTGAGTAACGACGAAGCCTTCACCTGGTTTATTTTTCTTTGTGATCGCGCATTTCACCTGCAAGTCCGAACGAGGGAAGACGTCTACGTCCTCCGCGAGTCTCACTAAATTTGTTTCTTTAGTACTCTTTCCTTGTTTCGTTTTGAGTGGGTACACATACCTTCCGATGATCATGGTTTGGTTCTCAAAGTCTAGCAGCGCTTTCCTAGCATTCAAGAAATCGATTCCCAAAATCATATCATGGTTGAAGCCGTCTACTACAACAAAATCATGATACATGCGCACCTTTCCAAGAGTGATTCGTATTTTGACTGATCTGGTTGGTTTCAGTTTGTGTCCAGAGGCTGACACGAGGGTGACTTTTTGTTTTTCAGCTGGTCTCACCAGCGACGGTTCCAGTAATTCCACAAATTTTTCACTAACGAGCGAGAGCTGCGAGCCGGTATCCAAAAGTGTATGAAAGGGGTGCGTCCCAATAGAAATGTCAACATACGGGCAGTTCTCGTTAATTTTCAAAATTTGTGCGGTCTCTGTACCGCCTGTCGCTGAATCAGTGTGAGGCCTTACATGTTTCCCGGCTGCGGTTGCCCTCTGCTTGGCCTACCTTGCTGTTGGTTTTGCGGTTGGTTTTGCGGACGCTGAGCAGAAGCGTTCGCTGTCTGTCGCTTAAAACAGATACGTTGTACATGGCCTATAAGGCCGCAGTAGTAGCAGATCGGCCGGTGATCGGACGTCCATTGATAGACCGGTTTGGTCCTAGAGTTCTGTCTAAAATTACCAGGGTTCTGACGCTGTTGGCCCGGCTGAGTGGGCTGTCGTTGGAAGAACTGGCCCGGGGGCGGTTGATTGACCGGTGGTGGGTAGCTCTGATAAGCGCTCGGTTGTTGATAGCTTTGATGGACCTGTGGTCTGACTTTGAAGGAATCATCACTGCGCCTGACTAGAACTTCTAGTAGATCTCTGACCTCAGACAGGTCGCTATTTTGCGCGGGGGGCTCGGGAGCAGGTGTCATGGCATTGCAGTCCATCGGTTCTGGTTTTACTTTCGAGTGGTCACGATAAGTGGCGAGTTCTGTCATCAGTTTAATCTGATCCATGGCTATGTGATACGCTTCTGTCGGAGTCTTTGGTCGGCGGGTCGCTATTCGTTCCTGAAGCTTTCTGTCGGTGATGCCATTGATAAATGTCCTTGTGATCGTCTCTACTACACTGGACTCGTCTATTTTGTCCTTGTATGCACGTCGGGAGAGTGTCTGAAGTCGCTCGGCATAGAGAGGGATGGATTCGTTTGGTCTTTGTACAAACGTCTGGAGCTTTTGTTTGGCCGTGTCTGAGTCATCTAGATAGTGATAACGTTGGGTCATGAGAGTTTTGAGGGATGCCCAAGAGTCAACAGACGAAGATACTTCATGAAAGTAATCAAGAGCTGTGCCTTTAAGCGTTTGACTAGCGGCCCAAAGAGTTTGTTCCTCGTCACCTTTTAGCGCAAGGTATAAGTTGTCCATTTCAGCTAGCCATTCGGTAAAATGCTCACCACTTGTGCCATCAAAATGATGTTTGCCCGACACCGACTGGTTAGTCATGAGTTGATTCTTTAGAACACCGAAACCTTGCATCATTGCATTGATCATTTGGCTTGAGGAAGCAGAAGCGGGTGCATGCGAGCGAGACGTTTCGTTTTGAGCCATCATTGAAGCGACAAGAGCCAGAAATATCAAAGATAGAATGGATAATTTGCGTTACGTTAATATTAAAAGGAAACAAGAAAAATTAAAATTAATATCAAGTGCCACTCGGGAGATGTCGAGACGTACCTTTGGTTGGTGTCACCGAAGATGGGATGTTCGCCAGTTCACTATCACTTTCACTTTCACTACGCGCCGGGCGGACTGTTTCGATTACGCGCAAGAGTCTGGTTCGGTAGCGCTGGGTGTTGAGCGCCTTTGAAGTCTCTCGATGAAGTTGTTCTCGTAGAAAAGCGTGATGAAGTTGATCTCGTAGAAGAGCGTCGGTTGACCTCTCTGATGACGTCAGTTGACCTCGTTGGAGAGCGCGAGTTGAACTCTCTTTCCTGTTAAACTTTGTCTCGATGACGAGAGACGGTCGGTTGGAGTTATCAGCGGCTTAGATCGAGCGCTGGTTGAGATGGCTGCCGTATAACTCGGGCAGATTGGGGCCTGACTGGTACAGTTCCGATTTCAGAACCCTTTATGACTGGTACTGGTACAGGTACTTGTACCTTGGATTGACACCGATGAAGATAAACGATGCCGAGCTTTGGCGTACTCACTTTTGGAGCGCTATTGTTCAGCGGCTCACAGTGAAGTGTCGGTCGTTGTAGTAGCCGTGAGAGCTGGCTGGTAGCAGCTGGAGCGCAGCAGCGTTGAATAGGTGCTCGTCAGCGGCAGAGTTCGTCAGCGACAGAGTTCGTCGGAAGAGTCGGCGCACGGAGAAGCAGATGGACGTGAGAAGACGGCTTCTTCGGCAGGTTCGATCCGACGTCAGCGGCACCAATGTAACACGGCGGTTTCTCGTGCCCAGGGCGGGGCGCGCCAGTGTTGTTGTCGGCCCTTTCCAGAAGAGATGCTCTGCCGGTCCAGGTGTATTGTCTTACGAGCACAACACAGAGCGATGGTCAGCTACGGTGTCGGTCGAGACCGACGCAGAAACGCGTCCGGCGTGGTCTGAGGCTGGGGGTCTTCTCTACACAAGCACGCGGAGCAGATGGTATGTGTCCAGCGGCTGTGGAGCTCGGAGGTCTCCTCGAGCGAGAGAGAGCACGTCCGACGCCGATGATGGCTCTAGGTCTTCTGCCAGTCCCCCCGATCGGGTGACTCCAGCAGAACTCCCTACTCTAAGGGCGGTGGCCCTCTAACCCTGCGTGGCGACTTACTATTGGCCGTTCCATATATGGTTGCACAGTTGCGATTGGTCATCACCACGTCGTACGATCGAGAAGCATGCGTCACGTGAGTGAGAGCGTCACACGCTGGTCTCGTGGTCCTAAGTGCATCCGGCTACGCAACGTTGCAAAGACATCAGACGGCACTTAGCAGGCAGCGGCTGACTTCTAGGTATAGAGTCTCTAGAGCGCGTTTGACAGAAGACAGACTAAAAGCTGACGTTTGTAGATAACACACCGGCGGCGCGGCGCAGAGTGCTGGAGACGATGAGTCACGAGCGCGAGCGGAGAGCGGTAAAGGTAATGAGCGTTGAAATGCGAAATTGAAATATAGCCACCACGCAGGTATAACTAGACTACGAACTAATTAAGCCTAAACCCTTAGAAACATAAGAAGCGATTCACGAAGGACAAACATCAATAAGCAAATAACTAACGCACTTTACACTAGCAGTAAGACTTTCGTACCCGTCTTGTTGAATGTAAGCTTCACATCAAGGAGACAGAATTCCGACAATCCGTGATTCGTCTCAAGCATTTCGAAGAAATGTATAAGCAAAATTGTCACCATGCATCTCGTGTTTCTAAGCCGATGACGGATCGACGGCTTACAAATATAAGATGAATGGCGTTAATTGCATATTTACTTATATACATGATCCTGAGCTTATTGACAAGCTCATCAGTCATCATAGTTCTGAAAAGATCCCAATATCATCAATTATGCCAAACATACTGATGTTCCACTGTTTTCTTGTCATCTCTGGTAATTGGTTTGCAGTTCTTCTAGGGAAAATCACAACATCGGATCATTGGCAATCATGGCCTTGAATAGATGACTGTGAATAGAAGATCAAGGGCTTATATAAGTGAATGGGTTGCCATTTATGTGAATTAAGTGTTCTTTGAAGAATCAATCGCTGTGCGTTCCTCCTGGTGCTGGTTCGTGGAACGTCAGAGTGAAAGTCAAAGAGAAAGTCAAAGGGAAAATAATAGAGAAAGGGCAATAAATTACTCTTACAAAAATAGTTTTCGGTCATCGCCCCATCTTTTTCAGACAAAAATAGTTTTCGGCTATCGCCCCATCTTTTTCAGACAATTAGGCATCCTGTAATTGAGCAATATTGCGTTGATCGTTCTTACTTGGATGCAGTGAGCACAAGATTATAAGTTGCAAAATGGAATTAGTTGATCTTCACAATCAGAAATCCATACTTCGGGTAATTTCCTGAGTTACATATGTACGAGTATATCGAATAAGGATATCGAATAAGAGCAGGCGCGGATCCAGGGGGGCATCTAGGAGCCCAAGTCCCTCGCCTATCGAAAAAATGCCGCCCTTCGCCGTTCTAGGTGGCGGAGTGCGGCATTTTTTTCGATAGGCGGTGGAGCGCATTTTACGGAAATAAGTGTTTCTTTTCAGCAATTTCATAATATCTGGTAATGACTCTCTGAATTTATATCTAATCCTCAGAGTATGTTGCTTCTCTCCCTGAAGTCAGAGTGCCGCCGCCTCAAGTCGAAGTGCCGCCCCGTAGTGAAGTGAGTGCCGCCCCGTAGACGGAAAATGTGCCGCCCCTGTGTTGACTGCTCCCATCCCATGAAACTCCTGGATCCGCCCCTGAATTAAAGTTAAATGTATGACTGTGCCAGCGGCAAGCAAGTCAAGAACCATGTTCTCATTTCCTCAGGTCTAGGACATTCGTGCACAGATCACGTTTCAAAATTAAAAATCCCTTTCTGGTTCCCCATCGATGCTAAACATCGTTTTTTATCATTACTATTCCACTCACATAGCCAAACAAAACAAAACTGCCACACAAACAAATAACCCATGCCTTATCGCCATAAATCCACCCCAAACACAGCTTCCCGAGTCATGGCGGCCATATTGGGACAGTCAGTCCGACCCGCATCAGTTTCTCGATTTGTCTCGGTCCATCAGATATTCATGTATCTCGTTTGGACTCAGCCGGCCATGACTGCCAAAGTAGGTCAAGGTCAGTAGTGGTTCGGTCATGTGAACTGCGCTTTATATGCCCGTGTGATATATGGCCGCTGGCAGAGCATAGCTTTGGGAATTTCGGACGAAGTAAAGCCGGGTTTAGACGTGGAGTATGCAAATGTTTGGTGGTTGTGGGATTTCCGGTCAGTTTCACATGTTGCTGTGTCCCGTGCCATATCCTTTGGCGTCTGTTTTTTTTTTCTTCAAATGCAGGAACGATGAAGCTCCGTCCTGAAACTGGCGGTGAACGTGGATTCATTGTTTTGTGTACCCATTGGTTGAGGGAGCTGTCTGCATAATAGGCATATATTAGGTGTGATTTTATTTTTAGTCGTGCCTGTAGCTTGACTTTCAAGATTTTACATCTGAAATGGTGTAAACAGTAGGCACAATGGCGAATTTTACATTTCCCTTGTGATAAATAAACAAAGAACATTTTCCATTCCAAAAACAAACAATCATCGCTCCACTGAGCCAGAAACGCACTCAGTGAAGTACGTCACAAAAGTGATTTTATTTCGTTCCGTGTAAACCGGGCTTTGTTCAGTGTTGTTTGTATACCACCCACGAGCGATTCAGCTCTTCCTTTCACATTAGACTCGCTCGCTAGTTCCGCCACGTCCGAAGCCAATTGTTTCCACTCGCTTCCAAATCAGAACACGCGCCATTTGGCGACGAGGCGCCTCCCGGTGCCGCCAGTAGGGGCTAAGTTTAGCGCCGCTCAGGCGGTAAATGACCCTTATCGAACGAGACACTACTGATCAATCACCAGAAAAAGTCGGTCTGGCTCTCCGACAAATTTGACCGTGACGGAGCAAATGTTTGGCAAGGGTCCCGTTCAGGTTACTTAGAGCGTGGCTTGAGCTCGCATTCCAACTGATCTGATCTTTGGTGACCAAGACGGTCTGTCGGGTGGAGAGAGAAGAGGAAGGAAGAGGAAGAGAGAGAGAGAGAGAGAGAGAGAGAGAGAGAGAGAGAGAGAGAGAGAGAGAGAGAGAGAGAGAGAGAGAGAGATTTGGGGACTAGTAACTCATGCGACATCGTGAGATTATCTGTTAGGCATGCTGAGATAGTATAACGGTCCTGTTGAAAATAATCAGCATAACACCACAGTGCTTTGAGTTAGATACATATCATGTTAGAGCATCAGAGTGGAGCATTTAAAGGTAGTGTGCCAGCTTTCCTGGACCGTATGGAGTTAATGGCCCAGATAAGGAGAACCGGATTTTTGGAACTTATCCATACCTACCTTCAAAACTCATGGAAACGTCTTAAATTCTTCAAGTTTTGAGTACCCCAGTGCGAAATTCGCCCCGACGGGTTGTCGGTCGTACCCCAACCACATTTCACACCACTATGAACAATAAATGCACACACTGAAATCGCTATTACCGATAGGCTCATCCAATCAAGTTTAAATAAACCCGTTCATCATCATCTCCTGCGGTTTCGAACACGCCTGTTAGGTGGTGCGGTAGACAGCGCCCAAAGCCAGGGCCCCGGTAACGTGAGGTAGCCGAGTCGGGGCAGCGTGCGCTGACCCAAGCCGGGGCCGCGCGTCCTCCCGGTGTCAAGTGATAGCCCGGGGCTGCCCGCGGGGATGCGGTAGACCGCGCCCAAAGCCGCGGCCCCGGCTTGGGTCAGCGCACCGTTCCGTGCTTCTATCCTCAGGATACTGAAATCCTTCTCCTCCACACCGCAACCCCCCTCCGGACTGGACAGGCAACTTTATCTCATGCGGGCTGCTCCCTTGGAGCGGCACCGCTGCTCCCGAGGGAGCGCACCCCGTAGCCGGGTGCAGTGAGTGCCTTGGGGCTGGGTGGCTTGTCCTCTGGACGGGCTCAGCCCCGGCGACTCACTAGGGTGCCTGCCCAGACCAATGTCTCCCCCTATATCCTATCATCCTCCCGGCTCTGAAATGGTCTTACTGGACCGAAAGGGCCTAACCAAAAAAAAAAAAAAAAAAAATGGGTCAGCGCACGCTGCCCCGACTCGGCTACCTCACGTTGCCGGGGCCCTGGCTTTGGGCGCGGTCTACCGCAGGTGGCTTCTGCTCATACTTTGTGGTGCGGTGGTGGTGCGTCGGGCCGCGCGCTCTGACTTCGGCCAAGAAAAATGCGTCAGCTGATCATTGTCATTTCTGCCACTTTCATGTGGTGAGATGGGGTCATAACTTTAGAGACGGCTGTTTCATATCAATTATTTTACATAAAATAATATTTCAAACCATAAATTAATGTTCGACAGCCAAATTAAAGAAACAATACCAATACAAGCTTACAGTTTAAATTCGACATTGTGTTGTCTACGATTAGACAGCTGATAACTCATTCCCGTACGTCGTAACTCTATAATGACCTTTGCTTATTGTCACATGTGCGCCGCATTCGCGATTGTTGCCGACGCCTGTTTGCAGGTCAGCCCACTACAGTTGTTATACATATAAAAAAAACGATAAACTTTTAGGCAAAAAAAGCACTATTTTAGGCCCATTTTTGATTTTTTTGCGATATTAGGTAAAAACAGAAGCTTCTTATCCTAGGAAAAATAAAATGGGAAATCATTGGAAGGTGGCACACTACCTTTAACGTGTCCCTTCCTACAAATCCCGTGCGCGATTCACCACACTACTTG